CCGTCTATAAACCACGAAACACAAGTTTCAGAGTCCCTGCAGAATACTCAGATCATCGGAATACTTAGTAAAGCCAATGAATCTATTGATGTTTCTATAGAATTCCATTTTTGTTATGGTATGCTGGGTAAGATATCTCAGTTACTTAAGTTAACCCATTTGACTTCGAACCTACATAAAAGATTCTGGCTTTTCAAAATTTTAACTAAAGAAACCAGAAGTATGGAGGTACTTTAGTCTCATATTTGCAAACTTTGAATTGAGTTTTGACATAAGTGTTTAGTTGCGTGTAATAGTGAACACATTTCTGCTTATTACAAGCATTTGTATTGTCCTTTATCTCAATGTCCAATTTAGCAACATTTAGAAATGAAGTAAACTGGAATAATTTATGATGCATATATTACTGATGATATACTGACCTCCAACAACAAAAATTAACAATACTAATGACATATTTTTGATTAACGATCATTGATTACAACAACTAGCACAGAATGAGAATGATCTTCAACAGTTCAATCTCTCACAATTTCTTTCAATTCATTTATGAGCTATAACAGTTCTCCAACAATCAACTTAGGCCACAAAAGCTCTAGCTCCATTTTTTATATGCAAGCAGTGTATAAATGTTTAGTTACAATTGTACGAGATTTTGTGCTCACCTTATTTTCGATTATTCTCCACCAGATGGTCCGTGTCTAACCGTTATTTTTAGTACAAACCACCTTTTAGAACTTCGGATGCTACCTTGTAGTCAATATAACACTGATGAAAGGATGTTCATATTTTAGTATCATTTGTGTTGTGGACTTTTATAAGCTTCTTATTCAGTCACATCCAAGTAGGCCATGGAGGATCAATGTAAGGTACCAATAAATTTAATGTACAGGAGACACAATCTAAAAAGTGCATAAAGAGAATTAACCAATGAAGTAACCCAGCGCATTATTCTCATAAGATTTTCTTGTGCATGAACAAACTCAAATTTTACAACTTCAAGCTTTAAAGATATGTCCAGTTGCAGAACAGGACTGCTACACTGTGGAAACTTATGTTCATATCCACCAAAGCCTGTCTGCATTCACAAGACAAGTACACATGATAGGATACATATGTCTTTGTAATTTCATTTTTTTAACCGATTCAAATTTAATTAAATCGGAGGTCTATGGATTTCGGAGGATTCAAACGATCAAAAAACAAAACGTTCACTAAAGGAATAATATACTGTCATGTTTTTCAAATAGCTCGCAGTAGTTAAAGCAGTAAATTTCCATGAATCATGATTCGCGTGGTTCCACAAACGCAATGGATTCGTATTTCGTAAATAAGCCCTAGTAAACGTCGATAGTATCTATTTGTTCTTTTTATTTGCGAGTTTCGTGACAAGAGAAATCTAAAAGGTAGTAAAAATGTAGTTCGAAGTTTATCAGTTGTCTGTAGATACGTTGGTTTGCTCTGTGCGATGGTGAGTGTCCTATAACGCTGACAATCACCAAGGTCCTACATCCTTTATGATATCCAGAGAATTCCTCATAGGATAATGTGGTTGAATGTATGACGGATACCTCTCAAAAAGAATTCAACAGCAGCGATATGAGAAACATTAGGACGAAATCTCTAACAGTATGTTTCTGATGGAATATTAGTCATTTAGCTGCTCTCGATTCAACTACTGAATGGATTGGTAATATAGTTCAATTCACAGATCGAATTTTCACTTGATCTTGTCTTATGACTCGACATGAAATTAAGTTGTATGGAGAGTATCGTGAGGTGGTACGCATTTATTCAACATACAATGCATACATATCCTACAGCATTTCTGTAAAAGTTCTTTACTTCTACTTGCGCTTGCTGATAACTATGGGTTTTGTCGTCCTGTGCAGTTTGGCTGGGCAAGAAAGAGTTTACACAATATATGAGATGGATTATAAATGATTGGCGATATTATGAAAAGTACTTTTCATACGCAATATTTAGTTGTGGATAACACCCAAGCACAAATATCGGCTATTATTATAACAATTAGACACCCCAACACCATGTTGTAAGTTCATCGTAGTGGTAAGAAACTAAAATCAAGAATGCACTCATTCTTTTTGTGTCTGAACACTCGCTGGTAGAGATATAAGTCGAGTGAGGCAAATGAACGAAGAATTATATGATTGACTCAGCCGAATAGCAGTTAAATCTTTAAAGACTGTAGAACGATTCATCACCGAAGTCATGAAGAATGCGAACGACTATTTGATAAGAATTTTCATTAAATTTGTAGGAACTCGACTGTCCTGCAATGCGTTTTAGTGTGCTTACTCTGTGCTTGCAGGTTCGCCAGAAATTAACTCGACTAAATGACCATCTAGAACATTACCCAAAGCCTCATACGTTGAAATGACATAAAGTCACATCTCCCTGTACGACGTCATTTTACAAGTTCGTCTTGAATTTACTAGTTTGACCGTACTCCGATCATATGGTTTATGGTTAAACATGCATCGAATAGTTATCTCGCGGGCCACATGATACTGATTATTAATCTATTATTTTTAAATCATATTGAGGATAAGTTATGCAAGTAGCTCTTCTTCTAAGGCTCCTTCCGGTTCTAAACCCACACAAAGGAGGAGAGTTGAGCATGTGGTCAGCAACGCTTTACAGCAGAAAACAATCTTGCCATAAAACGTAAGCCAGAACAAACAGTTTAAACCATTGAAACTTCGCCTTTCGGTTTGAAGTAAGAATTATGCCGCCTCGTAATGAAAGCTGAGATTCTTCAGATGTCACTGGGCCGATGCCTATTCTAACAACCAAAGGAACAATTATTTTAGGTACATAGAGTATTCGGACAATATGTGAAACCGGAAGAACTGGCCGAATGGCTACACTCAGAGAGTTGCTCCGATGCTGTCCAAAGAAGCAGGAGATACGCTTATGGGATGTGAATCTCATGGATCCAGAATCATCAAGGCATACTTCAATACACTGAACGGAGTTACGATGAATTTTATCCAGTGTTATGCACCCACTAAAGATAGCAGCGAAGATGAATAACATCATTTTTATCAAAAAGTGCAATCCGTTATAGAGAAGTGATCAGGAAAGCACCTGAAAACTCATCGAATTCAAGATAGTTCTCGACAACACATTCCAAGCTTTACAGAATCGTTTGAAAGAAGAAAGAACTACTATGTGGGGCAACTTGAATGGAATCTAAAAAGCACTAACTTCGAAGTGTCAGGAGGTTCTGAGTTGCAAGAAGTATCATCATCACGGAATGTGAATCTCTATGGAAACCTTGGACAGAACCCAACAAAGGAAGAACAAGAAGACAGCACATAACTACAGCCGAACAAGAGCAGAGAAAGCCAAGATACAAGCTGGACACAAAGAAGCAAACAAGCAAGTGAAGAGGAGCATTAGAACCGAAACGCAGAAATATGTGGATGAGCTAGTGATGACAGCGGAAAAGGATGCAACAAAAGACAATATGAAACAACTTTATGACAAAACGATGTAACTGGTAGGGAAATATAATGAATTCATACGATGAACTGCAATTCAAAGTGGTGCATGGAGGACAGTTGATAATCACATTCCAAGTGGGGACCTGAGTCAGACATGGTTGCTTACTCTCCCCCTTTTATTTTGTAGCATAGGCCTCTGTATCAGTAGACCTCGACATACACAAGGAAAAAAGCAAGATTCTCAAATGCGACACGAAGATCATCAACCCAATCACACTTGATGGAAAAACTCTGGAAGGGGTGAAATTTTGCAATTACCTGAAAAGCATCATTGTTGAACGTGTAGGATCTCATGCAGACGTTGGAAGTCGATAGGACATACATTACGGAATTCACCAAATCGCACCACGAGGCAATCCCTAACTTGGAATCATGAAGGGAGATGAAAAAGTGGAAGGCCAAAGAACACATTGAGCCGGGAAATAGAAGCAGATATGAGGAGGATGAATAGCAACTGAAAAGAACTGGAAAGAATTACACAGGATGGATGGAGAATGCAGTCTATGCCCAACCATGAGTGGTGACAATCGGAATTAAGTATGTAAGTAAGTAGTTAATATTTTCATCCAATTCATTCCATTAAAAGTATGTTTGTGTAAAATCAACTTCAAATTTCAACCTTTACGAGCGGCGATAGGAGTAACTTGTAGCTGTCAATAAATCTTCAAAATCAATGGCTCTGTAAGTGTTTGACGTTGCATGCTGGACACATTAGATTTAATGGACTCATCTAGCTGAAGGTGCATCCACACCAGATAACGAGTTGAAACGACGTGCTCAACATCTCTTACAATTGCTATCCAGATTACATCAGCCGATAATTTATCGAATACATCTTCGAACCAGCTTGCTTCTGTCTTTGTAGTTCAATTGCTAAGTACGATTCATAATATGTGTTACTGGTTAAAGCGTTGTAAAACTCCGAATATCTGTGCCATTTTGAAAGTAATCAGTAAGTGAAGAAAATCGACAAGTGGTGCCAGACAGTATATATTTTTCCACAAATATTTGTTTCTAAACATGATGAAATATAAATAAACCTGCTAATAAACATTTAAAACAATCTAGAAGATTTAATTTGCGATTCCTCTGGAAATGTGATTGATGAAGTTATTTGCCTGGCAAAAGGTGTTACCAAGCGTTAAGACTGTGAAAATAGCACTATCATCAATAAGAATAATCGAGCTGTTTACTTGCAGCATGTTCAACAATTATTACAATATAAAATAAGACTCACGGCAACATCTGCGTGTGGATTATCAAGCGTGCCTGAGAATATAGCTTAAATCCTAAATACACTGGAAGTCCTATATGTCTATCAAAATAATCATGACTAGAGCCTAGGCAAGACGGAAAAAATGAAAGCCTGTAACAAACGAATAACTGTTTTGTTGCTCCATTTGTGTGACCTTGTAGTAAATCGCAAGCTTTTAAACAAGCTATGCATTGTATGTTTTTTACAGGGAGATTTCGAACGTTCAGCATAATTAAACCGTAAGTTTTAACTGTACTTAACACGTAAAGTTTACGAGAAAATTTTTAAGGAGCTACTAACGTGAGTAACTTGTGTCACTAATAAGCAATATTATTTCATTTATGAAATCCCATTTACTTTATAATCTTTAAATTAACAAATGTTTTTTGAAGATGACATGTTGTAAATTGTATACTAATTCTGATTGCATTTAGATAAATCCTCCTCTTTATAATTAGGAAGTAGTCCCAGAAAGAGAAGTCGCTTTAAATCACGAGAATATTGAAGCAACACTCAAAACAGCAGTGTGATCTGTGACTTTCACCATATGAAAAATGCATCGAAAGTGACATTGTTTGGTTATTTCTGGTTGAAAAAACTATAGATTACGTCAACGTTTAATCCTATTCCTTATGACATGTGAAAACCCTATTTCGAACTTTGAATTCACCCACAGCGAAAACGTTTTTGCATTAAACATCAATGGCAGTTGAAGTATACAGAATTGAAGTTTTTATTTTCTGTTTAGTTAGCAAACTTCCGATCGCAACTTTTGATACATTTTTCCTCTACATTAACCATATGATCTCAACTCGAGAAACACATGTTAGTGAATTTCAAATTTATTCTACTTCACAGGTTATCCAGCTCTCAACATTTTGCTTAGAATTACAAACGTTATTATCTGTCACCCACGAAAATAAGAAGTGCTCTACATCTTGAAAAAATCACGAAGCTTAAGGCTTGCATTCCGGAAATTTTTCTGAGTAAAATATAACGGATGCATCTGGGCGAAACCACGATTACATTGAGATTTTCATGGGTTTAATTTTTAAATTTGTTCTTTCTCACTTAATAATCAATTTAGTGTTACTAGATATCAGAGGACTACTTTGTGTAGTAGGGGTAGGTTTAAATTTGTCGTCGTAGAATAAACGTATTTATCCATATTTGTTTGGTAAAGGTTAAATCTTGATCTTGTGTATAAGTTACCCTACAATTAAATACTATCTCCAACCTTATCAATTTGACTGCACAGTAATTTAGAGAGATCCTGAAAATCATTTATTGGCGCCATCATCTATGACATGAAGTGTGATCTAAATATATTCAAAAATCAACTGTTGTTAGAAGACTGTAAAAGATGTTCTTCAAGGACTGGATATTGGTCTAAATGTTTGAAATTCACATCGACGATTCACTAATAATAGATTATAGTCGTTACGTATTGTTAGATCTCAAAAAGTGTATTTTTCGGCTTTAAATGCCTGATGGAACCTATGTTTTGTAAGTTTAAGAGCAAACAGAATATATGATGACGATATGAACTGTACGTTATACGCGGATTTGTATGACTACACTTCTTATACTCACATCACGTAATAAATCAGACAGTGGTTGCACGTCCATGAATTTTAATAAGACCGTTCTTTATAGTTGATTTTCTGCTTGTGGTTTTAATCTATGTTTACTTTCTTTAATATAATTTTTGTGTTTCGCCGAAGAAATGAACTTTTATGTTTCAGCGAATTCCTCATATGAACTCATGAACTTTCCTTGCCTTCAAATTCTCACAGCACAAATCTCTTCTTGTGATTCCACTTCCAGTGATCATAAGTTATCAAACCAGTTTATTTTTGTCCAACTATATATAGCCGTTAATCAAGGGTTGAAATCCATTAATAGTAAAGAATTGCGAAGCTTTTGAGCTTGGTGTTTATTCACCTTTGTTTTCCTCACGATAGTCCTTAATTGGGCCCCTCATCAGTTTGAAAGGGTCTAAACAGTCATTTTTAGTTAAACTTTGTTCAAAAACCATCAATTGATAAATATCTATTTACAGGTGGATTATTATTTTTCAGAATCCAGGTGCTTAATTTTTGAATGGAAATCTTTAAACTTGGAGAGGTTGAACCTCTTAAAGATGATGATTTTCGTCGCTTTAAGAGCTTTGTTAAAGATGAAACAAACTGGAAACGCCGACATAAAAAGAAGAATGTAGAGGTTTTCACACGCTCAACTCCACATACCAATATGAAAATGATCAAAGTTGTAGCAATATTTCCAGACGTATCGTCGCATGTGATATATGACATGTTGCATGACAACAACTATCGATCGTCGTGGGACAATACTATGAGGGAGTCGACTGAAATTTGCCGTATTACATGGAACTGTTATATCGAACATTTCGGATGTAGGTTCCAATATATTTTAACTTTTGTAGTCAGAGCACCATTTGCGTTTGCTAATCGCGACTTTGTTTTATTGCGCGCGTGGCAACCATATGAACATGAATACATTATATTCAATCGATCAGTATTCCACAAGGTAAGATTATTTGACTTCAGTTTCAACGAGTAGAAAGTGCCTCCACGACCAGAGTATGTGCGGGCCCTGACATTCATTACTGGTTATGTTATTACTGCCCTTAGTCCTGTATCATGTCAGTTAATGTATTTAACGCAGTACGATCTGAGAGGTAAACAACGTTTTTGGTTTCAACCGCAACTTGTAAACTAAATTAAACTAACTGTATTGTAGTTTGTTTAACGTTAACCGTATTTAGTAGCTTTTGACTATATTCACCGTCTCTTCATAAAAAATTGGATGTAAACTTTAGGAAAAACGTCTTGAAAGAAATGAATATTGTTCAGATATTATTTTATAAATTCCAAGTTTAGTGTCATGAAGAGTAAAATGTCTTTGATGTGCATTTGCTTTTAAATATAGTTTAAAGAACAGACCTAATGACACATTGCGTTTCCTTTTCAGGAAATTAAACAAGGTGTGAACCGTAGTATCTATAAAATACACCGTAATACTCCGTTTTCTTGTCGACTACACACAAAGTAGTTGAGTCTAATCTTACTCCTTGCATATTTTGATTCTTATGTCGTATCAAAAGACTCGTATTATTCGCGAATAACCAATCCAAATTGGGAATCAGAATAAACAACAACAAGTAGTTTTCTGGAGTTTCCGATGTTGTGAAATCTATTTTTGTCTTATAAACAAAAGACAATCATATTAAAAACTTATTTGCATATAATGTATCAGTAGTTTAGACAGTTAGGGAAGATTTAGGTCTTTTGAGTAGTTTTTTTGTGATAAATTGGAAGAGGCTAAGCCATTCTGTACAATTTAGTTGACGGTTGGCAAACTCCCATAGATTAACTTCCATTTCATTTTTTGAAGTGAATTTATAGTATCACTTTGTTGTGTATTTTTATTTGATTGTAGGGTCCTAGGGTTTTAGTCGTGTACTTTTAATCAAAACTTACAAGATCTTTTGAAAGAAATGAGGAAATATGGTGATATGTATTTCAAAGTCAATGCAAAATTTCGAAGTTGTTCAAGTTATTACTAGTTTCACATGGAGTTGTTTTTTAGTATTTGTATTTTTTCAATGTCTATATCAAGGACTACGTTCAGCTTAGGACGAATGTATGTCAATAAAGATCGATAACTTGCAGTTATCAATATTGACCTTGTGCAAACTACAAACCCTTACAAATACTCACTTAGTCGAAAACAGACTGAATAAAAGTGACTACGGTTAGATTAGGCTGAATCGAAATCACGTTTTATATCAAAACAAGCTTAGTAGATGATGAGAGATTTCACAGTGTGAATACTTGTGCATGAAAATCAATTCAAGTTTCCAAACAATCCAATTACGCAGAATAGTTAGTAAGTAGAGAAATGTGTGAGAATGGATTATGGGAATAACTGATATATGAATCATTAAACACTAACTTCTAAAGTTTACATATATTTGGCATTTATCAAAACTTTACTGATCGCCAAAACTCGGGTCACGATAATTTTATATAGTATAGATAAGTATACAGCGGACAGTGAATTGTTCGCTTTAAAGTGGATAACGATAACTTTTGCATTCACACTGCCTAGCGGACAATTCGAAAAAAGATACGATAATGCTGTAGAATAATTACACACATTGTTTCCTATATAATTACAACTAACTCTTCACATCTATGTACAAGTATAAGAAGTAAAATGTTGCATCAGCATTGTTCAGAAAAAAACAGAATTTTTAATCACTACCCGAAAAGGTGAAGAAATTGATTAGTTGCATATTTTATAAAGCTTTTAATGAGGTATCTGATAATCGTAAGTAATTTCCTGGTATCTACTTTATCGAATAAGGTGTCAGTACTAGCATGAGGATAAAATGTGAAAAATATTCTATCATTTGCAATGCAAATGAAACGTTTTCCATAAGTGACCAGATCAGGTTGAATTAAAGGTTTTGTCTTTTTATTTGTTTTACGAAGTTAATGATAACGTATTCCGGTTTTTCAAACATATTTTTAGTGTGAAGCCAAAAAGTTTGAAGATATACTTCAACTTTTCAAAAATCTGTATGTCTAACCCTAAATCAGAGCAATATAAATGTCCAGTATGTGTATATTCACTGCTATAAATCTTGGCTTTATTGTTTTGTCCGGTTTAACCTATAGGTGACATACCATCATGGGCAATAAACCTGGCAACCACAAAGGTAGCTCCACGTCTTGTAAAGTCACTTCATCGGGCTGCTCTCTGCTATCCAGGTTGGAAAGCTCAAAACAGACCAGAATTTAAACCATGGCGAAATCCTGAACAACAAGACAAATCAGTACCTGCACTGTGTTATAGTGATATTTTGAGGGAACCCGACTTTTCCCTGAAGAAGGTTCATGAAAAGCATGTGAGCAAAGAAAAAGCCCTGAAGGAAGTTGGTTTACCGCTTGACACGAAGTTGGATGAAGATAGCTCCTAGTTATTAAATTTTTATTACGTTGCACTTGTTTACTTTCAAGCGATGTTATATAACCTTTCAAATGTATTGGTTAGATCAGATTTATTGTTCGATTAATTTTTTGTCTTAGGAGTGTAGCATTATGACATTTGAAAATTCCATGTGGCTAGATATACTAAGAGGATAACATATATTTAAAGTTTAAATTTATAAGAAAATGAACAATATATGAAGTCAATAACTTGACATTTTTACGTACTCTTTCTGGGAACTTGTCTAACTTCAGTTGAGCTACTTTGTATCAATAAACACAGGTGGCGATAAGAAGCCGCAAGATTTCATTTACGTCATCAATAAATGATGATTTCACAACTAAACACGATCAGCACTGTAGATATGTAATCAATTGAATCTTAAAGTATTTAGTCTCTAATAACAAGTAATATTGTCGATTGATGCACGCATATGAAACGAAAACAAAACTTATTCGAGGTGAAGCGTGTCCCATTAGAGGGATTCGTCAGCGAAATAAACCTACATTGAAGAAGTATTTCATTTCTGTAAGCTTACAGATCAAATCTACTATGAAATCTAACCACATCATTTAATTTTGACTCACTTAAGTTATGAAAACTATGAACAACTAATTTAAGTTACAATTTTTAAGCATATCGTGCCATCTAGTTTGTATTATTCATCAGCTGATATCATGTTCCAACGGAAAACTTTCATCAGGTTCATTACATTCACTAAGCTGTTGTTGTTGTTGACGTTAGAGTAGAACTTCCACTCTGGTAGCTGTAGGGATTAGTAAACGCTTATTTAGTATTGAATACGAACTTTAAAAAAAAGTAGGGAGGTAACCGTATCAGTTGTTACAGTAAAATGAAGAATTAGGGGTATGATTACATGACTGGAGAATACTATTTAATAATAAAACCTTGGTATTTGATAAAAGTTAAAACCTATCTTAATCACATACCATTATTTCTTTAAAACATAGCAAACAAGAGTTGAGTTTAGTTGGAGTGCATTATATTTACACATTTTATTAGTAGCCATTCAACGTTTAATAATCGTAAAAAACTAACTAACAAAACATTGAACTCATTTGAAAGTTTCCCTTTGTTAGTTACGCGCAAAGAGTCAGTAATACTGTTGATTACTTATATTTGTTATGTATTCTACAGAATATTCAAATGTTCTCTTGAAAAATACAATAATTTAGAACATTTGTATGCTAGAATGAAGACAAAAAATACAATTATATATATATATATATATATATATATATATATATATATATATATATATATAAATATTCAATTATTTGGAAAGCTGGAAATTGCCAAAGTCATCGACCAACGTCTCACGTCATCTCTTTGGTATATACTGACAGTGATAAAAGTTTTATTTGGATGTTGTGTTACGTTTCCTGTACATTATAAATAAAATTGCATTCTGTATAAATAATTTATGTTTTGTAATCTGTTAAATGAAAAAAGAATGTATGATAAACTGTCGGCGCAACGAATTATTGCTAATAATTCCTGAAATAACAATAAAACTATCTGTGGGTTAAATTAAACTTAAGAAATAAAATATTCCCGATTCAAGGTATTAGTTTTAGCATTTACTTTTCTACTAAAATCAAATGTAATTGTAAGTGATATATATATATATATATATATATATATATATATATATATATATATATATAGGGAGAGAGAAAACCAACCCAATCACGCTTGATGGAGAAACTCTGGAAGAGGTGGAATCTTTCATGTACCTGTTCAGCATCATCGATGAACGTGGAAGATATGACGCAGATGTAAAGACGAGGATTATGAGAGCAAGGACAGCATTCCTACAGTTGTAGAACACATAGAACTCAAAACAACTGTCTGCAAGACAACATCAAAGTCAGAATCTTCAACACGAATGTCAAGACAATCCTTGTGTTCGGATCTGAGACGTGAGGAACTACTGCAACCATTATCAAGAAGGTACAAGTATTCACAAATAGTTGTCTACGCAAGATACTCAACATCCATTGGCCGGATACTATCAACAACAGCGTTTTATGGGAGAGGAAATTAGGAAAAGACGTTGGAAGTCGATAAGACACACATTACGGAATTCACCAAACTGAATCACGGGGCGATTCCTGACTTGGAATCATGAAGAGAGACGGAAAAGAGGAAGGCCAAAGAACACATTGCGCCGGGAAATAGAAGCAGATATGAAGAGGATGAATAGCTACTGGAAAGAACTGAAAAGGATCGCCAAGGACATGGTTTTTTATTTACAGTAAGGCAATAGAAAATTCATAACTATTTTAATGTCCTTAAAATGAGATAGAAACGTACTATTTGGTATTTTAATTCTTATATTGACATGTGAGAAAGTATTAACTTCTCGGATTTATTTAAAAGAATTAGTTATAGATCATAAAGTTTTCTATACTGAAATAAACACATTAGATTACCTACTGAATCTAAGGTGACTTAATTCCAGGCTTTCGGGAAATTTCTGGAAAAATAATACCATGCTTATTTAAATAGTGCTTTCCATTCTTATTTATTATGTACAAGTTTATTAGAATCAGCTGCAATCGAAAGCCTTAAAATGGTACAAGTATAAAGAAACTTGTAATTGACCATGTGATTTACTTCTCATGTGTAGTTTCTAGGAATATACAATCAAGTAAATTAAACCATTGAGAAAAGAAAATATGGATAAAAATGAGATCAATTAAACTTTCAAATAACTTAATTTAAAAAAAAACGATTAGTAACCGAATTAGCGAGAATCACTTAATCTAGAAGACATTTCTTAGTGCTTATTATAAACTAGAGTGATTCTTTTAACAGATCTACACTTAATGAGTTTTACCATATATATATATATAATCAAACAATAACATCAACTAAAACAAAGAATACATTTACTGTTGTGAAAGAGGAAAATAAAGATCAGTGTATTGTAATTTATTCAGACAACTGAAGCAAATAAAAGTGCGATTTTAAATCAACTGGAAAGGTACATGACAAACTTCATTTATTAATTATCATATGGACGAACTGGAAAATTTACGAAGATAAACTATAATTTTCAGACATTAGACCATACAGCTGGGCATTATAGTTTATTTTTATTGTTTTTACAGAGTACCTTGGTCACATATGAGAGCCATTTACAGAATACTCCGTTTTTAAATTTTTATCACTCGTCTTTCACATCCTGTACGACTCTTCAAGTACACAATTCCTTTCTATTTCCCATTCTATTCTCTTCAACTCGATCATCCTAGCCTTCTGCTGCCAGGTTTTTTCACATCCAATTGGTGTTACACACCACTTACGTCAACAGACATAATTAGCATACATTTCTTTTCATGATATTGTAAATGTGCCATCGTATTCACAAAAGAGGATAGCAAAACTTAAATTATTAATTTCTTGGATAGTGGTTGGCTAAAGACTCAATTGCTTGGTAATTAACCGGTTTTACTTTGATAGGTTCAGGATTTCAATGTTTTAGTTTTCTATTTGATAAAAAAGGATTTTACGATAATATTCTGTTAGTAATGATTTACAATATTCATACATTTTTCTTATTTATGTTCCAATCCGATCATACTATTGATAGTAATCGAATAATTATGAGTAGAGCAGTTTATTGAATATAAAAAGAACCACAAATTTATGTGTAGAAAAAGAAACAACTGATAAAATATTAGAATTACTCCCATTATATGAAATGCTATCATTGTAATATTATTTTGAGGGTTACTTACGATAATTACTTTTTTATATGGTCATATGATATGTGTATATAATATTCCATTTGTTAAATAGAAAAGTGCATAGCAAAATTACAAACTCAACAATAATCACGTGGTATAAATTTTTTTTTAAAAAGAAGAAACGTATTTTCAATGAGAAATAAAATCTGGAAGAATAGATTTATGGATAAATAGATAGATATGCACAAACTCTTAGCCATTAACTCTATAAACCAAATAAAATGGTAAGATAAAAATGTCATACGTAGAATATCTAAAAAATTTTATTTAATTTACTTACATTAAAAATTTATATTTTTGTTAGTTGGTTAGATCAGATAAATTTGGTGACTTTTTGTCCGGAATTGTTACAACAACATCACTGATCAATCAGAGATGATGGTTTAATTCTAATAATTATTTATTAAACATATTTTTAAAGCAATTAGTCCCTTTGATATTTTTATTTAATAATTTAACTTAAGCTTTTAAATACACAATATTAATTAATATCAGATTGGGGATTTTTGCGGAAATTGTAGTGATTTGATAAATGAATTCATGAGTCGATTTAAACTAGACCACCATGGGAAACCTGGAAGCACTGAACAGCCGTTTCGTCATAGTATGGGACTCCTAATTAGTGCTCATCCACGATCCTGCATGCACAACTTGAACCCAAGACCTTCGGCCTCGCGCGCTAACTCTTTACCTCTAGTCCAGTGAGCCGGCGTTCGACGATGATGTCTAACTTCAACCAGTTCAATATATTGCGCAGCCGCCCATCACTGTCTTCAATGAGTAACGGCCTCACAACAGACACGGTTGAACTCCACTGGTCACTGCTTCTCACGGTGGTGCAATATCGTGGATTGGCTGAAGTTAGACATTAACACCGTTGGATGCCAGCCGGCTCAGTGGTCTACAGGTTAAGTGTTCACGCACGAGACCGTAGGTTCTGGGTTCGAATTTTGAGTGCGGGATCGTGGATAGGCACAGTTGAAGAGTCCTATACGGCCGTCCAGTGCTCCCAGGTTTTCCATGGTGATCTAGCTTTAATCAACTCATGAATTCAAGTGCTAAATATTAATTAAGACAAACATTCTAGCAAGTTAATTCTGAAGAATCTAAAAACAAAAATGGCTGTTTTAGCAAAAGCAATAATCGATGTTATAGTTTAGACTCTGGTATGAAACAAATAAATTTTCTCATATTTTAAAATGTTTATTATCAC